AATATGGTTTGAAAGGAACATAATATTGAAAAAAAAATTCGGTAAACGTGTCGTCACTCGGGTATCCCATTCCATACCCTATTTAATACAGTCCAACTATTAAGGTAAAACAATAGCGCATTTTTGTTAAGAATCATTTCATACACTAAAACGCCTTATAACCCATATTGATAATTGTACTTTATGTACTTGATGTTTGGGTTGGTCGGTTTGATCATCATGCGATGAAATATGTAGTTTCACGTTCCTATTAAATTGATGCGTGTCATATATGTAATTAAATTTCTGCCCCAGGAACATAATATAGTTGGTCAGAGTGGCGGATTGGGTCGTGAACCCCACGACCTTTGCTAACATTTAGATCAGTAGATTAACATAATGAAATTCGGGATTTGTCACTTCTTGGCGGCATAAAATTAATTACAAATTATATAATGGAATCGGGATTTTATGACCACTCAAGGTCATTCACATACTTTGCATTTTAATTATGTTGTGCAGATTTCGCTTCCAAACCTCAACAAACTTTTTATACATTTTAGGTAAATGTTGATTTTCACAAGCTCATCGCAAGATCTTTGTCACACACCGCCAGTACAAATTGATCCTCACCAGAACTATAAATTCCTTCAAATTTTGACTTTCTCAAAAAAAAAAAAAAACTCTTCACTTTATTAAATTAACTGCGAAAAAAAAAAAAAGAGACCAGAATTTACGAGTTCATTAGGAAATTGCGACAATTAAATCCTACAGCTACAATGCCGAACATATATTACAACGGTAAACATGAGAACTCTGTGCCTGAAGGCATTGCCAAATCGCCCTATCTCAATCAAGGTAATCACCACACTATAATTTTTATTCTTTGATTAAAAAATTTTCAAAAGAAATACACCGTCGAGAGATAATCAAAGAAAAAAAGATCTTTTGATCTTTTTTTTTTAAAAAAAAAAAAAAAAAAAAAAAAAAAAAACCTTGTTCACCTTCTTACAAACGATCAATTTCCAAATTAAGGAACCTCCGCGTCCCACTGCACGCGCAGCTCCCTGAAAATTGCCGGCCTTCTTCCAACAGCCGTGGAGTCGCTCGGCCAGCAAAAACGACGTGCGATGCAACAATTACACTCGAAATCAACCGACTTGGAAAAATACGTGTTCTTGGCGTGGTTACGGAATACCAATGTTCGTCTGTTTTACCGAATTGTCACTGATGAGTTGGAGGTAAGAGATTCGAATGCACCTTAGTTGAAATTCTCCCGGTCAACTTGTTAATTACGTGAAATTTATTGAATTATCAATAGGAAATTACACCATTGATATATACTCCAACCGTCGGCACAGCATGCTTGGAGTACTCTCATATCTCTCCGTTCCTTGCTCCTCCTGGTGTACCTGATGGCCTTTTCCTTTCTATTGACGATTTACCAAACCTCACCCATATGATTGAAAACTACAATCCATATCCATTCGACAAATCTCTCACCCCACAAATCACTGTGATTACCGATGGATCGAGGATTCTGGGATTGGGTGACTTGGGTGTTAATGGTATGGGTATTCCGGTAGGAAAGTTGCAGCTCTATATTGCAGGTGCCGGAATTGATCCACGACGCACATTGCCGATCACACTTGATTTGGGAACTAATAATGAAAAAAATTTGAACGACGAATTTTATCTCGGGTTGCGTAGGAAGCGAGCTAATGATCACGAGGTTTGTTGTCATATTCGTTATTCGTTTACGCCATAACACGTAATGTTTATTGTTTTTTTCCCATTTAATCAATAGTTCTATCCATTTGTTGACGCCGTGATAAAATCTTTAACCGAAGTATATCCTGATATCCTAATCCAATTCGAAGATTTCTCCTCAGAACACGTGAGTTCTCTTTGACCTATGAACTCGCAGAAAACAGCAACCATTGCTCATCTTCTTCCTTTTATTTTGTTTTAAAAACAGGCATTCGGTTTATTAAACAAATATCGAGAAAACACATTCTGTTTCAATGACGATATTCAAGGCACCGGTGCTGTCATTTTGTCCGGCTTTATCAATGCCGTAAAATTGGTGGAAAAAGATGTCGCACCCACTCAACACCGAATACTATTCTTCGGCGCTGGTTCGGCCGCAGTTGGAGTTGCCAAACAATTGCTGGAATTCTTCAAGACAGAGCATGGAATGTCGGAAGAAGCAGCCAGGGAGTTGGTATGGTTGGTGGACACAAAGGTAACTATTGGATTCTCATTGTTCCTAAAGATAAAATGATGTTTCCTGGTTAATCAATCAATCATATCATATGATTATGTCAGGGTCTCGTAACGCAAGATCGTGGTGACAAGTTGGCAGATCACAAAGTATACTTTGCTCGCTCCGACAATGAAGGACAGCAATACAAAACTTTGTTGGATGTCATCGAATATGTGAGACCTACTGCATTGATAGGTCTATCATCTACTGGTGGAGTGTTCGACGAAGAAATATTGGAACGAATGGGTGAATTAAACAATAATCCTATCATATTTCCACTTTCGAATCCCATGGTGAACGCCGAGTGTACCTTTGAGGATGCCATGAGGGCAACGAATAATCGTGTGATATTTGCATCAGGCACCGCGTTTCCACATTATGTAGAACCCGACTCCGGAAGGATACGATATCCAGGACAAGGAAATAATATGTATATTTTGTAAGTAGGGATAAATATTTTGTCGATCTCACGAAAAGAATTTTTCCTCCAGATCATGTTAATAAATTAACATCTCCAAAAAGCCCTGGTCTAGGATTGGGTGCTATTCTAGCTCGCCCATCGAAAATCACCGACCGCCAAATATACGCATCCGCTTCTGCACTCGCCGCCTCGCTGACCAAAGAGGAAATCGCTCAGGATCTCCTATACCCTGTGTTAAAACGAATTCGTCATGTAAGCGCGGAGGTGGCTGCTGCAGTAATCGTGGAGGCTGTCGACGAGGGATTGGCGCGTAACCACGAGGTGATCTCGATGGTAAGGGGTAGTTGTGCTGAGATGAAGACTCGGCGAGGTAGAAAGTGGGAAAAGTTGGTCAAGTATGTGGAGGGACAAATGTGGAACCCCAATGATGAAAGGTTTTTTGAATTTGGGAGTTTATCCGAGAGCAAGATCTAACCGGATGACGATAATTATTAAAAGGCGTGGAATTTTAGAGTTTCTTGAAAAGATAGATTTCTACTGTATCTCTGTAAAGTTCTATTTTCAACGCGTAAAAATCATATACAGCATACAGTGTATACCAAAAATATTAGATACGACTACCATTTATTCAATCTTGTAGCGATAATAAAATAAACAATATATATAAATTTATTTGACTAAAAAAATATAATTCATAAATTTAAATTTGGAAAAAATTATTATTTTTATTGATTTGAAAAAAAAGAACCAATATTCAAATTATGCATGTAACAGAATCAAATTTTATCTTTTGCCAGAATTATGGAAAGTTGCGTTCAATAGATTATATATTAATAATATTTGAGTTGAAAATTTTGAAAAACTAAAATTAGAGACAAAAGGTAACCTCATTACTTTTTAGTTTGATTTAAATAACTTTAGAGTCAACTATATGCGGTAAGTAACATAATACTTATATATAGAACCCTTCTGCGGGTCTAAAGAATATTCTGGTGATCGTAGATCATGCGCCCGAAGGCGATCCCATTGTAAAAGAATTAAATTTTGTTCATTTTAAAAATTTATCTGGATACTGTACTGTATATCCGATAACCAACCACGTTTCGTCGGAATTGATGTATTCTCCAACTTTTCTCGCGGATAGCCGTTCAAATTCTCAAAGAGCTCCCATCTCTAATCTCAGTTCCAAGCAAAGGGTTGCCTATTTCCACAACAAGGATGTCGGAGCCTTTCACTTTGGGGTAAGAAAGATTGCGTTCTAAGTTCTTTTCAGCACAGGGTTTTCACGAATCTCCATCTGAACCCACAACTTTCTGCAGCCTCAACACCCAATGAAGCCCGAACGCTTGACCTTGACTAATGATTTGGTTCTTGGATATCGCTTACACGAGAAAATGGATGTTTTCTGCCCTCCGAGGGCCACCGACGAAGAGCTAATGGAATTTCACCAAGCTTCTTACATAAACTTTTTAAAAAAGTATATTTTAGTGAGATCTCTCGCGTCCGTACTCACAGAATCCGAATTCACTTTTACGATCGGTGTTTCTATTTTTTAGAATCACACCGGAGAACGCCAAACTTTTTCCGGTCGAGGATTTTAATCGATTCAACATTAATGAAGATTGCCCGATATTCGCTGGTTTATACGACTACTGTCAACTCTATGCCGGAGCTTCGGTCGCTGCCGCGGAACGGCTGGCGTCAGGAGCGTCGGACATATGCATAAATTGGAGTGGGGGACTGCATCACGCTAAGCAATTTGAAGCATCGGGATTTTGTTTTGTCAATGACATAGTATTAGCGATTCAACATTTATTGAGGTTAGCCAGTGTTTCTCGCTACGTGTTAATGTGAGTTCATCTTGCATCGGGCAATAGTTTTTAATCGGGTTGTGATTATCGTAAAGGTATTACCCAAGAGTCTTGTACGTGGATATCGATATACACCACGGTGATGGAGTGCAAGAGGCATTTTACCTTACCGACCGTGTGATGACTGTTTCATTTCATAAGTACGATAATGGCAATTATTTCCCGGGAACAGGGGATTTCGAGGAAATTGGAACTGGATTTGGTAAATACTTTAGTCTAAACGTTCCACTCAAGGACGGCATGGATGATGAAAGTTACATTGTACTATTTAAGGACATTATCACAGCAGTTAGGGATCGATATCGACCGAGTGCGATTGTTCTGCAGTCTGGAGCTGATTCGCTTGGCAAGGATAAGTTGGGCGGATTCAATCTCAGTATCAAGGCACACGGGGAGTGTGTTAGGTATATAAAGAGTTGGCAAATTCCGTTGCTTGTTCTCGGCGGAGGTGGCTACATGGTACAAAACGTGGCGAGATGTTGGGCCTATGAGACAAGTATTCTGGTCGATACGGAAGTGCCGGAAGAATTGTCACCGGATCGAACCAATTTTTACGCGTTATTTGGACCCGATTATTCATTACACCCTCCGCTTGTTGGAAAAGTGGAGAATCAAAATACCAAGAGTGATTTGCAAAAATTGGCGCAGCAGGTTCTAGAGCATTTGAAAGCTTTGGAGGGAGCGCCCAGTGTACAGATGCAGGAAATACCCACGGAGAAAACTAAAGAAGCAAAAAATAAAGACGAAGAATTGGCAGATTCTCGTGAGGACGCTAACGCCGACTATAGATACAGGCGGAGACTGATATGGCACGATAATGAATATTTCGACGGGGAAAATGATCACGACAGGGATGACGAAAGACAAATGATGGATGATGAGTTTTAACCAAGATGTATCTTTAACAACGGTGCTTGCACAATGCGCGTTCGCGATAATAATTTGATTGGTGTTCTGCTTCATATAATTATAATTCCGATGAGGTTTTTGGGAAAATGGATAAAAGTCACGAGGTCAATTAAGGATACGAGGTGAGAAGGTGACCTCCATCTCCTGGGCTCTCAACCTTGCAAAGGTTTGGTGGTAAAGTCGGTCGAAAATCTCTTTGGTAAGCTTTTCTGTCATCCCTACAGACCGAACACAAAATCAACGACATTATCTCAAGCTTTATCAATCTCTCATTTCACGAATTCAGGTGTTTAAAGAAAATGGGGTAAAAAAAATTTTTTTTTCTGCAAAAATAATCGTCATCCATGAAATCATACGTATCAAATTCTATTTCATTTATATTAAAATTGGTATAACCTTGTTTTACAACCTAAATAAATCAATCAAAAATAAATATACACATAAAAAAACGAGCTAACCAAGAACTATTTATTGGCGGCATTTAATTTTTCTAAGAAAAATTGCTAGTTGACATGGTCGACATCACACAGTATCTCGATGGGGAAGTCCAAATGGTATAAAAGTGATGTTTAATCGATTTTGATGTTTTGAACAGCGTAAACCACAAATCGGCATGAAATAGCCGACCACCTCAACCTTCATATACGCAGCCAGCTATCTCCGAGGCAACATGAGTTCAAACAATAGACGAATCCCCTTGGAAGACGCAATTACGGTCGGGGGTGAAGCCATTTCCAGAACTGCACTTGAAATAGACGTTCGTTTAATAATGGTTGACTTTGAAGCGGTTCGTGCTTTCGAATACCAGCTCAGCGAATGTATCCCTTTGACACACATGCGCACATGCTAAACGAAACTCCAACTAAAACAGCACCGAAAATACGATTTTACCACTTTCACGTCTGTCTGGTCGAATTACAACTTTTCCTTGATCCACTTTGCGTGCCCCGAGAAGATTGGCCGGCCAGTTTTTATGCAAACATTGTATCAACTATTTATTGGTAAGGATTTCTGGCAATTCTTTTCACCTCTGCTCTTATCTCACAAAGTTCCATGGGCTCTCCCGTAGGCTATTACTATACTTCCCGTCAGGTAGAAGTGAAATTGGGAGTTCTCTATGGAATATACCTTCTATTCTTTACGCAGCCGGATAATTTCGAAAAGATCCGGATCCGAATCTCGCTCAGCATGTATTCTCACATTTTTAGTTTATGGAAGAAATCTTCTCGTTCCCCTTGACCTAATCGTTTTTTGATGCTGCGTCATCTCAGAAATGTGGAAATCACTCTCGCACCTTCATAAATATTGCCAACAACACGATCTATTTGATGCCGAATATATTTACGAGCGACTCGTCGCTGAAAGTGCTTTCGAACTGGTCGCAGTAGTAGATCCGTGCGGTGAATATGGGCGGGATAGACGCAAAAAGAGAAAGTGTGTATTGCGGTTGTTCATGTACATTTTCGTCACCATGCCAGTTTGAATGCAATAATAATAATTCGAGTAACGCTTTACAGGATGATTCCAAATTCAATTTCCGAGATCAGACGGGAGATGACAATGGCGCCGATGGTAAATGGCTTTGCGAGTGCAAAATTCCAACACACACGGAAATTGATCATGGATTATGATTTAGGGTGAATTCGAAGATCCGGATTCATTGAATAAGCTTGAGCATATAGCCACCCAATATTACACTAAGAAACGCAAGATCTCCGACACGGAAGAAGCCAAGGTTGCATCACGCAAGGTCACTCGTCAGAAGATGAAGTCAAATCCTGCTGGCGATTATCCGCTAGACATCTGGTCGATCGTCGCTCCTTTAAGCGCGTCCGATGAAAATATCACAGCCACCTTAAGAGACAGGATTGAGCAAATTAAGAACGAGCGACACGAATTCTTGAACAAGGATGATAGCGATCAGGACGAAGATACGGATAGCGATGATGATGATGATCAAGTGGTAATGATTCGTGAATTGATTTAAAAAAATAAAATAAAATAAACAAATACCAGACATTAACACATTTGAATGATACCGCGTAGAATGCGACAGCATTCCAAATACGAAACAAGATACGATCTCAACCATACAATACGAGAAAAAGGCAATATATTCCATTCGCCATGCAGGCGACCGTGAGAGCTATGGAAAGGGATGCGGAAGCGCGTTCCTCCGGCACCAAGACGTCGGTCGGAGCGTCCAATTCTCAGAGTGACGATCTTCCATATTTACCCTAGATCCCTACTCTCTCTTGTTATCGGATGTATGATAATGTGGGCTGATTTATTCCATTATTGTAACATGAACTTCCATTAGGTACGTGCTCGTTCATGTCCATTACTTCCTTGTCTCGAAATGCAAGTAACATTTGTGTCTTTCCGTTTCAGAAAGTTTATATTCTAAAAAAAAATATTGTAAATTAAAATTATCTTCCATTGGTGTGATGTAAAAGATTTCAAAGTGTTGGTAGAAACTCATTCGAGACTGTACAATTTTCTCTCATGACATAATAAACAAAAAGCTCGATTCCTTCTTTTTTTTTTTTTATTTCAAATAGATGAAAAGGTTTTTCTATTTCATTGATAATTCGAGTTGTCTAACATCGTAATAAGCATCAAAAGCAATGGTGACGTGCTACAGAATCTATTTAAATATATTCTTAGTAATCTGTAAATTACATTTCAACTGTTTTCTCCAAGACTTCAATATGCGAGTGTACAGTGAATATTGCTTTCGCCAGTCTATGGACACGAGTTTTATTCTAACTTTGAACGTTTGCTCTGAATCTCATCACCGTCATCATTGACAATATCCTCATTGACATCCTTATAAACACTCTCTGAAGCAATCATAGTTTGACCATTGTCATCATCCAAAGAAGTATTCTCGGTTGCAGACGAACCAGGAGCGTGAACTTCCTCCGGGGGATCATTGTTGACCTTTGCTCGCATGTGTGAAGGTATGGGGGTGGGAAGCGATGGATCGATTACCACGTAGGTCGCCTGCAGGAGGTAACCGCCGCCACCGCTTGCCGACATCGACGGGTGAGTTCGACCCGGCAACACCTGGACCAAAAAAAAAAAAAAAAACGCGAAATGCATGAGAGGATGAAAATGTTCGGTAAAATGGAGTGAACACTTTGGCGACGTTTCTCTTACCTGATATTGTCTCAACCAACCCTCTGTAATCGTAGGATTCAAGTACTTCCGACACATACGCATTTGGACACAGGTATTTACCAACACCTGGGATTGTCAGATCGATTTCATAAAGGTAGATGAAGGAACCTTAAGCAAATTGCCATTCCCACGACCAGTACCATAAGCTTCCATTTTACACACACCTCTTTGTTGATATGATATATTATAATTGATCTTGATCCGCACAGATAGGGCACCAGAGTCTCCAGGATCGATTCCGGTTGATACTGACTGGCTATCAATAATCTAAAATTTGTGGTAGGAGTTTAACGAGAAATCAATGTGAGCATTGAGCATGTTTGATAAATGTGACCGAGTGACTACCATTTATGTACCCATCAAATCCGCCTTTGAACAATAATTCCCTTGTTGCCCTTATCCTCTCATAATTTGCTTTGCTGCGAAGATAAAATTTTAAATCCTTTTCGGAAAGGCTTGATTCATCTCGGTAGTTGAACGGCGCTAAATGTAAATTGCATGAGGAAGAAATGAGTTAACAGAATCCTGAATTAAATAAGGTAAAATTTCACGAAAAGTCCATTACCTTGAGCTTTCTCTTTAAAAACCTGTTGCCAGGATAATACCATCAACGAATCCGAGACCTTTTTCGAGAAATTCATATATCTCGTAACATCAAAATTGTGATTTTCTCCGTCATGTATGCCAATCACAACACCGTAACCTTTTAAATATAAAAAAAACCGAAATGGCATATAAAAATGTGCGAGGGCTCCTTTAGACAACGGTCAAAGTCGATGAATGGCCATTCATACCTCCCAACCTTTCCATGACACCTGAAATTACAAGCCCCTGAGTGTCATCCACCACCAACATTTTTCCGTACGCTCTTACATTTGCCAAAGTCAACATTTGGGAAAGTGTGTCGATCCGCATATCTCTGGAGAGGGATATTTTCGGTCAACGAAAGGTCGCCAAATCAATCACAATATAGCCAAGTCCAATCAAACTTACCTTATCTTAGAGGGATTCTTGGCGTAGAAGTATTCCCAAACAGAATATAAAGTCGGCTTCACCGGGGTAAAAACACGCGAGAATCTATGAAAATTAGAGTGCAAGGTGTTGTAGGCATCTATGTGATTTGGTTGAACAGGTGCAAACAAATAAATTTTCGTACTTTGATTCTTTGCGCTTGATATACTTCGCTTTGGAGTACTCGGTCTTCTTGTCAAAAGTTGAATGACTCTCAATCACTTTTTTGATAATATCCTGGTGATTCACGATCGAGTTCATTCACTAGATTACAGAGAATAATAGGTTGAACGTGGAGAAAGAATCAATCAACCAACCTGTCCTTCTAATCCATCTTTCTTCAACTGTTCAATATCGGCGTAAGATAACTTTTGCTTGGAAGGATCGTCAATCGTCTCCTTATTATTTGCGTCCGTCTCATCTATTGGATTCCGACAATTAGAACTTGTAAAATCCAGTTCTACAGAAATCTTCGCTCACTAATTTTTCACGAGGCTCTTACCAACTTCATAAAATGCGACGTTACGAATGACCTTTATCTTATCGCGGTCATGAATTTCATAGGAATGACCGAAAGGTTTTCCTATTATGTCGTTTGCATGAAAGGTACCAAATTTACCCAAAGATACCTTCCTATATGTTAAGGTTAACGAAGACAGTAAAGTTTGTAGTTTGCAAATCAATTTACGTTCGACGATTTGACTGTGAAAACTCGGTGAGAGTAATCGAGGACATAATCATGAAGGAACATACACACTCACGTATCCTTTTGAAGTTTGACCACTTTGATGTTGCCGCTTGGCAGGAGGATAAATACATATTGATTATCGAGGATGTAAAAGTCATCGTATTCCTCCTCTTTATCAATCTCTTTGCCGACCACTTTTTCACAATTCATACTATCGCTAATTGATATTGAGCTTCAAAAGTTTATCGAAATTGCACTTCCGATTCAAACTAGTCCAATCAAGATGAATTGGCCAACCAAATAACGACCTCTTGATTACGAAATCATCCCGTGGGATTTTCCTCGACGCAAATATAAATAAATCTGGCAAACAATTTCTACTGGGAAAAGAACGTCTTTCCGAGAAACTGATTTATACGCGAATGCAGATATGAAATCGGTGGTAAAAGGACAAGTTAAAACTGGACAAAAGGCATTTAAAACTGCGACTTTGTGGAAAAAAGATAATCCCTCACGGACGAAACTAAAAATACTTCTGATAGGTCGAAGAAGTCTCAAAAGAGTGGGCACTCGAACCCGAACACGAGTTTAGATTCGAGGTTGATTTTGGCACAACGGTGAAATTAAAGGTTCGTAGTGATAAAGGCATGGGATTCAAGAAATTGTTATTATAAAAAGGTTCTGTAGAGTAAGAGACATATGTAGTTTGCTTGCTTGCTCACGAGTAAATGTAATAAATTATGTCGAATAATTGCTTAATTATAAAAAGATGTACAAACATGATTCACATAATAAAAGACTTAACAGACATAACCAATAAATATATAAACCTTTCTTTTTTTTTACAGTTGATCTCTGGCACAGCAGAGATATATGGTACAGAAATTGGAATAGGTCCTGAGTATGAATTCTCAGGCCGCAAAGTTGCCTTGTTTACATGGCATGGTTGCAAAATAGAGATATCCGTTTTTTGCTTTTCTCTACCCTTTTTTCAGGGAACTGGTTGAACCAGTTTTCTTTTTTATTTAAGAAAGTGTCGAGATATTATCTCCTTAACGGGTTCCCCGTGAATTGCGTGACTACATCAGGGGAATTTGTAGTGTAGAATATGTCGCCAACGAGACACCGATGACTAGTTATCTCAATATGCACTTGGCACTCGAACAGTGTAGAGAAGAGGCCAAGAGCAAGGATGAAATGGGACCTCGGGTGAGCGATAAAAATCCCTTTGATCGAGAATTGGCAATCGAAGATTAAGACCATCGTCCCTTTAAAGGTAATGATAGTAGGACCTGAAGATGTCGGCAAAACTTCTTTGAGCAAAATATTACTTTCATATGCGTTTCGACAGGGCAGGCAACCTATATTCGTTGATCTGGATACCAACGAGGTAAGCAGAATCAAATGACCTTTGAGCATTATTAAAAAAAACTCACTCAATAACTGCATTCACTACCCAGGGTTCCATTACAATGCCTGGCACTTTAACCACGACCGTGATTAATCAGATAATAGATGTCGAAGAGGGATTTGGCTCCTCGACGACGACCTCCCCATCATTGGGTTCCTCGATGATCCCAGTAGCCTATTACTACGGATATTCTGATCCTGGGGAAAACGTCAAACTTTACAAAGTACTAACAGCAAAATTAGCTCAAACAGTTAAACATCGTGCGGCCAACGACGAAGATGGTGCGTATGCACGAAGAAAATGACTTTGTTGAGGAATCGTGATTTTAGAGATTCAATGCCCTTGCCTTTTTCATCTTTTCGTAGCTAAAGTTTCAGGAATGGTGATTGATACCAGTGGTTTGATAGACAACACAGGCTACGAAATCATACAACATTGCGTAGATGTATTTGATGGTATCTAGTCTTTTCCTTAATTTCTCCCCAACAGGAGATCTAACATCGAATATCTTTATAGTGAACATTATCATCGTCCTTGGTCACGAAAGATTGTATAGCGACATGGCAAAACTCTACAAAGAGCATCCCGAGATTAGCGTCTTAAAATTAGCTAAATCTGGCGGGGCAAGTTGCTTCTCAAATATCTGGATCGTTTGTGTATCCTGCCATGATTAAAGATAATGTAACTCCTTAGGTCGTCGGTAGGGACAAAGTATTTCGTCGTCAAATTCAAATGCGCAAAATCCGGGAATACTTTTATGGCTTGCCAAAATTTGAGCTTTCTCCCTATTCCACGACGATTAGTTTAAATGAGGTGTCCATCTACCGAGTAGGAGTTGGTTCGCATCAATCCAATCTTTTTGTATGGTGTCTTGTTTATCTCCTCCGGTTCTTGACAATCTATGACTATCACATCAGGATCATTGGCACCTTCTTCCGCCTTACCGATTGGTATCGACAGGAAGGTCAGCGAGACGCAGCTGGTGAAAGTGGAACCGGACGACCTGATACGTCACTCGATTTTGGCGCTCACATCCTCTAACAGCGCTGACGAACACGAATTGCTCGAAACGAATATAATCGGATTCATACGCGTGTATTTATATTTCTAGTTATCTTTCTAGTCAACATGTTTGTCGACTCACTTATGACTAAGTACGCATGTATATGCGCCTTTCGTTAGCTCCGAGGTCGACACGGTCAAACAGAAGATGACCATACTAACACCTTGCCCTGGTCGTTTACCGAAACAGTATTTGATAATGGGCTCGTATAAATGGATGGAAAGTTAATAAACCTCACCAATCGAAAAACACGAGACACATTGCCATTATCGAATAACTAAACTCTTGTATTGAGAATTGATTGGCGTCTGGAAAACCGTGATGTGTGGTGTCTATAAGATGTGTTGTAAATGTCTAACAAAATTAATTCTGTAACAATAAAGTTTGAGTTCGCAAGAAGTATTGATAATACTACGCCGCATGCAACACCATGTTCATTATAATTGTCTTATTAGTCATTTCTGTTCGTCTTCACGGTAATGCTTATAAATAAGTAGAAATTATATTTAAATAATAACCCAGAGAAAATCAATTAAAAATGGTATGAAATTGTCAAGATTCTAATTACCAGTTGTCGACCAAGTTGGTTTAAGCTTCTTCGATGCGAATTTTCTTAATTCAGTATCCTCATGACCGGGAGATTGGTGTGTTCAGAAGAATGGGAAAAAATCGAATAATAATCTTATTCCATGTGTGTGCATCATATTTACAGTAAATAATTTTATTAGTTTATTTGCGATCTCTTTAATAACATAGTGGTAAAACAAAGAAAGACAATCTTATTATAACAATTTCTCTTTTTTTTTTTCTGCGAATAATCCGCAGCCAGGTTAGATTTATCATTCATTAACCAAAAGTACATATTCATTTGAGCAGCATAGTACATACCACAGCTAAACATTATAGCAATTTAATTAAACTTATTGTAGGCACAAGAGTTTCTAAGTTTGACATTTGAAGACAATTTGTGCTCTTAAATGGATTTTGGATAAAATGAAAAAATAAAAAAATATTATATAGTTTCTGTTTCTTTTAAAAACTTATGTTTCTAAAATCTTTTCTCAATAAGAAATATTTAATTGTAATATTCTTTTTTTTTCCTTATTATCTAAAAAACTTATCTACCTTGATTTAATATATTATCGATTGGACATTTATGGATCAGAAATATTTTATACTATATTAAAATAATAGAACTTATTTATAGCTTAATTGAAATAAAAAAGAAGTAATTATTATAACTTTATTTGATTAGAGTAATAGAAATAGAAAGATTTAACTTAAATAAATATTGCTTTTTATAACTTAAAAAATTTATTACATATATTTTATTGATCTCATAAAATTAAAATATAGATTAATAATCAATAATATTATCAAACTCATAAATACAATCAATAGAAGCTTGTTTACTTTCTTTTATCAATATGTTTTATATTAATAAATTACCTTTAATAAGATTTATACTATTCAAAAATTTAGAAACAAACTGAAGTAAATAAAAATTTTCAGAAAATTATAAAAGTAAAAATTCTAAGAAAGTAAAAACAACTAGCAAGAAGAAAAATAAGTATTTTCATTATGAAAAATTCTCTTTTACAATTCATTTTAAAAATGACAAAAGTTAATAACTATTTACTATTAGTTCCGATTCCTTTTGAAACTTTTTACTATTGATATAAAAGAAGTTTTTTGATTTTTTTTTTTTATTGCTAGAAATCAAGTTTTTGTTCAAAAAAAGTTGTAAACAAAAGGAGAGTAATAATAATTATCATTTAAAATATCCTTCAAGTTGTTTTAAGGAAAGTATAAAGACTTTGTTAGCAAAAAAGTCAAACTTCCTGCAAAATTTTTTTATGCATGATTAAAGGAACAGCTTATTATAACAATTCTCTTGCAAACCTTTTATTAATATAATAGTATTGATATCATTAAGAAGTAGGAATGAAGCGAGCAATGAAACCTGAAATAATAGAACAACAGGGTTTCAACAAAAAATGTTGCCCCATTTTGAGATCAATAATGAAATCTATCATGTTTTCTTTAACTATAACTTTTCATCATTCTTTATAGATTGAGCGATAACCAGGAAATATGATTTTCGGAGATTCGGATAATTTTCCTTGAAATTCACTCGGTTTCCTCTTGTTGAAAAAAAAATAATAATGATTACGCATGCAAAGATGTTAAATATACCGCTTTAAGTTGACATAAAATTAATGAGAAATAAGCAAATATTTATTTCCGTATTAAAACGCCAAATCATATTGGTGACTGTCAACCCCTGAGAAAGTGTCATCAATGTTAGGCAAGAGTATAATAAAAATAAAATGAACGGAATCCATTATGTCATTACCATAGCTCAATGAGCTCGTGCAGGGAACGAACTCGCTTCTATATGTTATTTCGGAAGGTGTGCTTTCTACGCCTTTATTTTTTAATATTTCATCAGCATCAGATAATTCAGATAAAATCTTCTTATCGTTTTGCCATTCCACAAGAATTTCATAAACTCTTTCTGCAGACGGACGATTTGCTGGACTTTTATCCCAATACTTTTCCACAAGATCTGTATAGCATTGCGGTGTACCCTCTGTTATCTGGGGGCGTGAACCATTACAAACTTGTATTTGAAAATGATCCTGTGATTCCTCGTCAAAAGGTACGACCTTTCCCGATGAAACCTCCCACAGGATTATGCCCAATGAGTAAATATCTGATTTTAATGTGTATGGACGACCACACAAGACTTCCGGCGCTATGTATGGTAAGATCCCATAAACACCTTCAGATTCTATTTTTAATGCTTCGTCGGTAGATATTGAAAGACCCAAATCCACAATGTATGCACTATTCAAAGTGTTTCGCAATAATATATTGCCACTATGCAAATCTCGGTGAATGATGTTTTGCGAATGAATTATCTGAAGGTCATAAGCAATGCAAAGTAATAATTCCAGCTTCTCTTCCCATTTCATTTGTGATATCGGGCAGAGATTTTTGCGCAGAGAGCCCATTCGGGCAAGAGACATGACGAGAACATAATCTCCAGAAACCTCATCTCTTGATACCCCGTGACATTTTAAAAATGTAAGATCTTTAAGACCAACATTGCAATATGTTCTTAGCTTTAAATAAGAATATACGAATTGTAAACGATAAATTATTCATTTATACTATAAAATCGATAATAAAAATTACCTCTTTTATAAATTCCTCAGGACAACCTTTTGATCCGTGAAGTAGTTTAAGTGCAACATATGCATACTTAACATGAGAAGCACGACATACAGTTGCAAATCCACCATGTCCTATCTTTTCGACCTCCCTAAATTCTTTATACGGAATCCAGGATAATTTTTCTTCAACCAATATTTCTTTTAATTCATCATTAACATCCGAGTTTTTGTGTGTCCACTCATTATTTGCTAAGGAGTTAGGTGTTAGATTCTTAAAATGATCTTATGCGACAATTGATCAAATACAACAATGAATACCTAACAAAGTGTTTCTTTCCCTACCAAATTTACATTAGTTAAAAAAATTATGTATCAAAAATGAATTGAGAAAATAAATTAGTAACATTTGATACCAATGCATAGACATATTTAGGTTTTTTGCAACCCCAATTCCATTTCGATAACATCCAGCGAGAGCGAGCATTCCGGCAGCATTTCCCAAATTTGCAGATTTTTGAAAATATTCGAATACTTTGTTTTATCCTTTTCAACCCCAATTCCATTAAGATAACAATAACCAACGCTATTTATTCCGTCCGGATCACACACGTCAGCTGATTCTTGATAATATTCGAATGCCTTGCATTCATTCTTTTCAACCCCAATTCCTTTTTCGTAGTAATATCCAACGGAAAATTTTCCTTTCGCGTGCCCCATCTCGGCCGATTTCCGATAATATTCGAATGCCTGTGTTCATCTTTTTTGACTCCAACTCCTTGAGAATAACAATAGCCAACGCCAATAGTTCCATTTGGATTGCCCATGTTTGCTGACTTTTGATAAAACTCAAACGCCTTATGTTCATCTTTTTCAACTCCAATTCCTTTCTCGTAGAAATAGGCAATCCTATTCATCGCGTCCGAATCCTTCATCTCAGCTGATTTTTGATAGCATTCGAATGCTTTTCGTTCATCCTTTTCAACTCCAATTCCATCCGCATAACAATGGCCAATGCCAAGCATTCCTTTCGAATTATTCATGTTTGCTGATTTTTGATAAAATTCGAATGTCTTATGTTCATCTTTTTTAACTTCAACTCCTTTCTCATAGAAATAGGCAATATAATTCATCGCAGCCGAATTCCCCATCTCGGCTGATTTTTTATAATAGTCGAACGCCTTATGCTCATCCTTTTCAACCCCAATTCCGTTTTGATAATAATAACCAACTTGAAACATTCCAACAACATTTCCTGATTTTTTATAATATTTGAATGCCTTTCGTTCATCTTTTTCAACTCCAATCCCATTTGAGTAGTAATAGCCAACACAACATGCTCCTTGCGCATGACCCATCTCTGCTGATTTTCGATAATACTCGAATGCCTTTTCCTTATCTTTTTCGACACCAATTCCATTTTCATAGCAATAGCCAACATTAAATGTTCCATCCATATGGCTCATCTCGCTCGATTTTTGATAATATTTGAATGCTTCATTTTCATCTTTCTCAACTCCAATTCCATACCTATAACAATTTCCAATATTAAATATGCCCGCGAGGATTTCCATGTCGGCTGATTTTTTATAATATTCAAATGCCTTATGTTCGTCCTTTGCGACTCCAATTCCGCTAAAATAAAAATTACCAACATTAAATGTTCCATCTGGATCACCCACCTCAGCTGATTTTTGAAAATATTCGAATGCCTTGCGCATATCCCTTTTAACTCCAATTCCACTGAAATAACAACAGCCAACTTGGGACATTCCGCTATTATTTCCCATCTCTGCCGATTTTTGATAATGTTCGAATGCCTTTAGTTCATCTTTTTCAATCCCCATTCCTTTTTGGTAGCAATAACCAACGTTGAATGTTCCATCTGCATCTCCCATTTTGGCTGACTCAAGATAATATTCAAATGCCTTATGTTCATCTATCCCGACACCGATTCCATTTCGATAGCAATGTCTAACATTATATGAACCCACGGGAAATCCTATTTCTGCTGATTTTAGATAATATTCAAATGCCTTCTGTTCGTCCTTT